GTAGGACAAGAACTATGGGAAAAGGATAATGATTTTAATTTGGAAAAGAGAATGGAATGGTTGATGGAATCAAAGGCTTTGGAAAAGTCAATGAGTATAAGGACAGTTAGTTTTTTGTCATCAATGGCGAACTGAACATCATTAATGATTTTGATTAGGGCGGATTGTGTGGAATAACCTGGTCGGAAACCAGATTGGTAAAGGTCAAGTTTATTGGACTGTTCAAGGAAGTTGGAAACTTGGGATTGCACAATTCTCTCCAGAGGTTTGGAAAGGTTAGAAAGGATTGAGATTGGCCGGAAATCTTCAGGGGAAGACGGATTAGAACTTTTATTTAAAGGACGGATTGTGGCTTTTTTCCACAAGGAAGGGAATACTAAATTTTGAAGGGAAAAATTGTAGATGAAAAGGAGTACCGGAAGGATTTCAGGGAGGCATAATTTAATTAATTTGACGGGAATGCCGTCTGGACCAATAGAATTAGAGTGTGATTTCATCACGGCGGATATGAGGTCTGTGGGAGAAATATCTGAAAAATAAAAATCGGCGTCATTGAAAGATGTTCCAGGAGGAAAGAAGGAAGGGGGAAATGAAGGAGTTGAAGAGGAAGCAGATATAAAATAAGAATTTAAGTCATTTGGTGAAACTGGGGGCACTGTAGAAGGAGGAGATCTGGTAGGATCACAAAGAGAGAGTTTACGAAGGAGTAGCCATTTGGATTTGGAATCAGGAACTGAGGAAAGGGCTTCATGGAAATAGGTAGATTTGGCTCGTCGGATTGTGGTTTGTGTCAGGTTGCGGAGCGCCCTGAACGCTTGATAGTCGTCAGGCAATCTAGTGCGTCTAAAGCGTCTACGGGCTGCATCACGCCTCTTCTGAAGATCCTTAATTTTCTGACACATCCAGGGAGCAGGAAGGCGACGAAAGGTGGAGGTTTTGAGAGGGGCATGGTCATCAAGGATATTAATAAGATTGGAGGTGAGAATGTCAACCATGGAATCAATTGAGGTACAGGAATATATTATATTCCAATCTAGGGATTCTAGGGAAGGTAAGATTTTTTCCCGAGTAAGGCCATTAAGGTTCCGGAAAGTTACCGTTCTCGGTAGGATCGGAGGGGTTTGGATATTATAGGATATTTGGATTAGGTCATGCGACGATAAAAAGGAAACTGGTAATTGGGAAGAGGAAAGGAGGTTTTGAGCGGAATCAATAATGTACAGGTCCAACCAAGTGTCGGACCTAGCGGTGTGATGCGTAGCAGAAAAAGGAACGATAAAAAGATGAAGGGAGAAAAAAAGGTTTTCTAGGTATGATTTGTCGCTGGAGTCAGAGAGGAAATTGGTGTTTAAGTCACCGGAAATGATAATTTTGGAATAAAGGGGCACAAAGTTAAAGAGGGAAGCTTCGAAAGACGGATCAAACGGAACAAGAGGAGGACGATATACCACGGAATAGAGGAGATGAGAGGTGTTACAGGAGATTTCGACAGTTTCGATTATACAGTTTCTGGTGGTCAATAGAATCGTAAGCCTTTTTAAAATCTATATACAGCTGGTGAACAATACCGTTGTACTCCAATTTTTTCTCTAATATTTGATCAATAGTTGAACGATTCCGTCTAAATCCGCATTGGTAGTCTCCGATAATTTCCTCGGCGTATTCCGTGATTCGACTGGGTAGGATTAAAGTAAATATTTTATAACATACCGGAAGGAGTGAAATTCCTCGATAGTTATTACAATCCGTCCTCGGGCCCTTTTTGTGAATCGGAATAAGAATAGATTCTTTCCATTCCTCAGGTAATTTCTCATTTACCCAGATCTTTTTAATCAACCGATGTATTTTAGAAACTCCAGCTTCCCCGCATGCCTTAATTAGTTCAGTAGGAATATTATCGGTTCCCGCTGCTTTATAAGATTTTAATTTTCCTATAACTACTTCAGCTTCCTCTTTACTTGGTCCTTCTATTAACGGTTCAGCACTCTGGTACTCAGAAGGAGGACACAGATCATAATTTCCCGTATTTAAAATATTGTCAAAGTGGTCCTTAAACTTATTCAATATGTCAACCGGATCGGTCAGAATATTGTTATTATCATCCCTAATTCCAGACGTTACGGGCCCTACACATTTTCATGATCTGTTTATACCTTTGTACATGTCTCTTACGTTATTTTTGATTCTATTAGTTTCTATTTCAATTATTTTATTTTTAAGATACTCCCTTTTTTTACTTTTGAGCAATTTTGTCGTTTCGTTCTTTGAGATTCGGAAGTATTCCAGATTGTCTTCGCTAGGATTATTTAGAGCTTTTAATTTAGCGGCTTTTCTTTTTTCGCACATGTTTAAGCAATCTTCATCAAACCACGGTTTGTTATTCTTATTTTCCTTTTTTTCCTAGACACGAGTTACTGACCGCTTTAATGTTATCCCTGATCTCTACCCATAACTTGTCAATATCCTCGTGGTCCTCGTCAGGAAGCTCTAAAGCTTCAAACCTATTCTTAACATCTAGCTCGAATTGGGTTCTAATTGATGGATTTTTTAATTTTTCCAAATTAAAATTCTCAAAATCGAAACGGTTTTCTTTTCTCTTTTTTACATTAAGTTTTTGTCGAAGTTTCGCGATTACCAATTCATGATCCGACCCACATTCTGCTCCGCGATAAGACCGTACATTAATTATACTGCTTTGCCAGCTATGTTGTATCAAGACATGATCGATATGATTTCGTGTTTGCAAATCCGGTGATGTCCAAGTATATTTATGAATATCCTTATGTTCAAACGTCGTACTTTTAATTATCAGGTTTTTCTAGATGGCAAAGTTTATCAGACGGATCCCATTATCATTACTATATTCGTGCAATAGATTGTTGCATAGATTGTTTACTATAGATTGTTACATTAAAACCTAGAAATGCAGAAAACAATATTATAAAAAAATTTCTTGGCTTCTAGGACTCATTAGTATAAAATCATATTCTAACAAATAGTGTAAAAAAAAAAAAAATGACCATTTTATCAAATTCAAGAATTCAAAGGACTTGTGAATATTTTAATCCTATTTAATATTTACCAATACTTAATAATCCTTTTGGAGCATTCTCTAAGCTTGTTTAATACCAATCGACTTCTTCAAAAAACGTTTCAGTTTAGTTATTTGTTTCTAAGAAAAAACATAACAGTGTCCTACGAAATTCTCGTAATTTTAAGGCATTACTGGAAAAATGATTTCACAGCTGCTGAAGCAACTCATGAATCATTAAATATGAAGGGGAAGGTATCCTTGACCAGCACACTGTGCGGCGTTGGTTTGAAAAATTTAGCAGTGAAGATAAAAAGGAAGAAGGGCTCCTGGCGACCATTATGGATATTGATGAGGTTCTGCAGAAAGTTGTTGAGTTAAATCCGTCCACAAGTACTCGCGAACTTGCTAGGGAGTGTGGTGTGTCGAAAGATACTCGCCCTCTACTCTCCATGGGGAAGGTGGAAAAGAGCAGTAGACTGGTTCCTCACGAACTTACGTCTCAGCAATCAGCTAAGAGGTTAGAAATTTGTGAAAATTTATTGAAAAACCCTTGTGATACGATATTTTACTGGAATATTATCACCTGTGATGAAAAGTGAGTTTACTGGCGGAATCTGAATACCTGTAAGCAATGGCTAGATCAAACTGGTCAAACTGCTTTTCCGGCTTCTGCAAGGGGGCAAAAAAAATTCCATGCTTTGCGTTTTTTGGAATTTTGAAGGTGTTATTTTTCATGAATTTTTCCTAATTGATGCTCTATGAATTCTGAACTCTACAGCGAACAACTGGAAAGATTGTACTCGAAGTTGTCAGAACGTTATCCTGCTTTGATCAACCGAAAAGGAATTTTATTACAACAAGATAATGCTCATCCTCACACTTCCTGTTGAACCAAAGAAAAGTTTAAAGAACTTCATGGGTTCGAACTCCTGACTCTTCCACCATATAGTCCAGAACTCGCATCATCAGATTACTACTTATTTAGATCTAAGGCACATTTTCTTGGAAGGAAAAAAATTTGATAATTTTGTGGAACTAGAAATGGTATCAGTGTGGGATCGAGCAATTGGCTAGCAGGTGGCTAATGGCAGTAGATAACAATGGACTATACTTTGAGTATTAATTTTATTTTATATCAAAGAAATAATAATATAAATATTTGGTTGAAAAATATAAATTTTTTTTTTTATACACCCTATTATTTTAAAATAAAAAATAGATTCATCTTGGAGAGGGGATGGAAAGGAAGCACAGAGGAAATAGCTCAACAAGGTATAAAACGGGTGCTGATTCATGAGTTTGAATCAATTATGAATAATTCATGAGTTAGGATTTGTTTTCTTCATTGATGAGATTCTTTGACAAATTAAAATGTTTTTATTTTTAATCTTTGACTATTATACGTGCATTTTCTTGCTAACAAATTAAATCATGAAAAATAATCCTAAATGTATAATTTGTGCCCGAAATTTCTATTCAGTGCAGCATAAAATTTCCTTAAAACAACCTATTTCATGTGGTTTAAATTAATAGCTAACTTTCATCAATTAATGAGTTGCTGATAAAAATATGCAATCGCACAGTGATCTGCGCTCTAGTTGTAACATTAGTATTATTAAATAAACAAGCTGTACGAAAATGGAAATCAAGTTAAAATTTCATTACCCAAAAAAAAATTACCTAAAATACATGTTTGTTTTCTGTTTTAGAGAATTGAATTGATATTACTTTCCTACACATTTGTCTGAATATTATATCTGCCTAACAAATTAACAAACATATATTTTAATTAATAATAATGATTTTGTTTCTGGTACACAACTGTATTGGGATTTATTAGTTCTTGCAGTTTGATATGTTACATCATTAGAAACATCTTAAATTAAAATTATAATGAACATCTTAAACTATTATTTATAACAATTTATTTCCTGTACTTATTAATTTTGTCAAACTGTTTTTGTAGACAATATAAGTATGGTCAGTGAAACAGATAGTTGGTGTTACAATGAAGACCTTGAAAGTGTCAGTTCTCATCAGATGAATTCGCCTTGGGGTGAAATCCCATCTCCTCAAATCCTTGACTATCTTTCAAAGCAGATTACAACAAAAGGTTCGCCCAAAGCTGATATACAGCTTAGGTAACTTGAAATATTTCTTTTTATTTTATTCAATTTGGTTTTTAATTTATATTTCATAGATAAAACAAATATCTTATAAAAAATCTTTTATCCCATCTGGCTAGTAATTAAATAAAATTTTAATTGTTGCATCATTTGTCTTAAATATAGTTAAATCAATTTTAAGCACTACTACTAATAATCAATTCAGGATATAAGAATAGTTTATTGTATTTTAAAATATGGTAATTCAAATTTGAGGTTGAGTTTTCATTAGCTCTTGATTGGAATGTCAGCTGAACGATTGCATAATTCATAGATATAGATTTTCAAGGCTTCTAATTTTGATATTTCCTTTTTTTTTTTTTTTTTTTTTTTTTTTTTTTTTTTTTTTTTTTTTTTTTATTAGGTTTTCATTTGTGCATAGAAATTAAGATTTTAATTTGAATAAAAATGAATTTAACATTGATTGGCATTTCATTTGAAAAGTCTTAAGTAGGTACAACAGTAATAAATTTTATTACTGGGAATGTGGATTAAGAATTACTAATGGTAATAATGTCTATGTGGTACCCTCAATATATTAATTAATTTTTTATAAATCACTGATTTCATTTTGTATTAGTTAATTTTTTAAATTCCTCTTTCTCATTAGTTGTAAAATCTCTGACCAAAAACATTTGGCTTGTTTGGCAATCAATTTTTTAATTTATTTTAATAATTGTTACAAATTTTAAAATTTCAAACTATGATTTGGTTTTAATAAAATAGTTATTTATTGCTTTTAAATAAGGATGACATTCTCAATCACTATTCTGTATTTTATTTAATATATTTTTTCCATATCTTTGTTGTAGGTTGTAACACTTTATATCAATTTGTTGTAATTACTGCTAATTCTCTTGAAGTTTCACCCTTCAATGAAAAAAAGATTATTAAGCAGTAATTCATTTTTAAAAAATAAACCTATTTTTAAAGTTAGGAGTAAAATTATTTACTCTTTCAATTAATTTATTTTTATGGCCTTAGGATTTCCTGCACAATCCTATTTTGCAATTAAATTTTAAACTTTTGTGTTGTTTTCCTGTTTATTCTAAATTTGAGATTCATTTTACCATATATATTATCATTCAATCATTTCTCTCTCAACGTACCCAAGCAGTCTTTATTCCCAACCAACCTTTATCATCCTATCTAGCTCTATCCTCAGGAGTGGCACAGGGCTCTAGCGTATCTTCTCTCCTTTTTAGCTCATATATTAACGACCTTCATAAATCAATCCTTCACTGTTCCCATCACCTTTATGCCGATGATTCCCAAATTTACCTCTCCTTTGCTTCCTCAGAGTGGCATGATGCGTTTGCCAAAATACAAGAAGACCTAAATCGGATTTGTGCCTGGGCAAGTGAAAATGAATTAAGGTTAAACGCTGCTAAAACCCAAGCCATTGTCATTGGTTCCAAACCCCTTCTCAGATCCAATACCAACATTCCTCTCCTGTACCTAAATGACCACCCCATCACCTTCAACTCTTCAGTTAAAAACTTAGGTGTTTTCATAGATCAAACCCTCTCCTGGAATCACCACATTTCCCACATATCCCGACGTGCAATTTCCATCCTGAAACTTTTCCATCGCTTCCGCCATCTCCTACCCATGTCCACACATAGACTCCTAGCATCCGCCCTCATCTTCCCCCATATTGACTACGGCTGCGTAGTGTATGGTGGCCTCTCATCGGAACTTGGAGACAGACTGAAAAGAATCACGAATGGGTTAGTACGATTTGTCTATGGAACCCCGAGACGTTCTCATGTTTCCCACTACTACACCGAGTTAGGGTGGCTCTTTCCCTCCTTCAGAAGACAATATTTCCTAGGTACATTCCTTTACCAAATAATCGATAATCATTGTCCATCCTACGCATTCAATCTCCTTCTATTCAAGTCATCTATCCACTCCCTCTCCACAAGATCTCATCCTTCTGACCTTTATACCCCTTTCCACAAATCGGCCTCATTTCAAGACTTCTTTATTGTCCGCTCCACCACCATCCCACTTAAAATCCGCCATGCACCATCCTTATCCATATTTAAAACCCTCTTATTCCAATTCCTCCTTACAATTCAATCAGACGCTGCGTAGCCATTTATCATGTATAGTATATATGTATATAATCTCGTCTATATGTATATTCTCTTTCATTTTCACCGATCAATCTACATCTTAAGATTTAGATTATATAGGACTTGTATAATGTTTACAATACTATTATAGTATTCTTTGAACATATTAAAGTTCATATGTAAATCATTTAAAGTAAATATTTATCCACTCTTTTATTATTATTTTTTTCATTAATACAATGGTATGACAACAAAAGTAAGTTGTCATTCATTCCAAATCTCACTTAAAATTCCATAGTTTATTGTTTTTAGTAACTATCTTGCAGTATTAGGACCTTATTGCTCATATTATGTCTTTAATATATCAGTATAGTTATGTAAATCCTTCTGTTATTACTTATTTTTAGTTGTTTTTTTTATGTGCTTTTTTTATTATAATATACATTTTAGCCAGATGTTATGTTAATTTTTATGTACAATATTGTTATTCTCAAGGGACTTTGTCCCAGAATAAAGTTGATTCTTCTTCTTCTTATATATTAGGTTTAGGTTTAGATTTTAGCCTTAAACATCAGGTTTGTGGTGGCCAATTCTTGCCAGCCCAAACCTACAAGGGACTATTAGTTCACCTTACCGCTAACTGGCAACGCAACACGTGTGTGCTCACTCATATCTCTAAATACCTCACTCAAATACCTAAAAGATATATTTTTATTTCTCATTATTGTATTGTGAAAAAACTGAAGTTCTAAATTGTAAATATGTATATACATTGTGAATACTTTTTAATAATAAAGTTTTATGGTTATATGATATACTGACCAAGCTTTTAAATAATACTAACTGTAACTACTCTTGCTAGCCAAGTTAGTCCAGGTGGAATGAAGACCACAGTCTTAAAAATAAAATATTCAGATCTCAGATCTCCATCATTCGGGATGTAAGACCTTCCCAGCAGTTTGATCAGTATATTCTATATATGTTTTTTAGTTCAATATCAAACTGCCTTTTATTTCACTAAGCTCCTTTAACCATTTGTCCATTTCTCTCTTCATACAAGGTCTGGATGCTCATACGTCCACTTGTATTCCTACATACTAACTCTGTTAATATTTCATCTTCTCACAAAATCTGGAGTTTCATCCCTCCATTTGTGGTTTCTGTCCTGTGGTGTCTTGAGGTTCATCCCTAGCCCGCAGATTAAGATTGATTTGCATGCTCATCCTCCTAACACTTGAGGTCATCCTGTCTTAGCTTCTTCATTCATCCACTAAATCATATTACCCTAATTCAAACATGCTCTGTCAAGGCCTTCTTATCACTATCCTAAGTGTACCAAACCTCGACAAGTTCATTATATATATATATATATATATAAATTATGGTTAGTGGTATGATTATATTATGTTTAATCATATCTAGATAATGTAAACAAGGCCTAATACTATATATAGAGGATTACTAAGAAAATAAAGTCAGTCTTTTGCAAGCAACTGAGTGTGTTATTTTGCATCTCTCTTTTTCCTTTTTTTTTTTGTTATTTCTTGTCCAGACATTTGTAAATTTTATATATATGTTCGTGTGTTTATATGTAGTCTTCTTGAATTGTATTTAAAAAAAAAATATATAGAAACAGTTAGTCCATTTCAAATTTAGATTATTTTATGACATCAACCACATCAATACTAACAGTGTGAATCTGTCAAGGTCATAGGTTACTATTTTTATGTAAGATTTTTATCTTGTCTAATTTCCAGAATAGAACTGAATGAGTAATCCTTTAAACAAAAATTATAATAAAATAAGTGAAAATACATATATATATTTTAAAAAATGTAAATAATCATTAATAACCGTGATAAAAGATACTATCCCTCTTTCTACTCAAGTGTGTTGTGGAACTTTGGTTTCATTGATCATTTTACATGACTGAACTTTTTTTAAAAATTGAGATAAAAGATTATTCACTAATTACTTTTTTTTTTTTTGTAACATATATCTTCTTTCCTGCTTAAACATGTGCGAAAAACGAAAAGCTGCTAAATTAAAAGCTCTAAATAATCCTAGCGAAGACAATCTGGAATACTTCCAAACCTCAAAGAACGAAACGACAAAATTGCTCAAAAATAAAAAAAGGGAGTATCTTAAAAATAAAATAATTGAAATAGAAACTAATAGAATCGAAAATAACGTAAGAGGCATGTACAAAGGTATAAACAGATCACGTAAATGTGTAGGGTCCGTAACGTCTGGAATTAGGGATGATAATAACAATATTCTGACTGATCCGGTTGACATATTGAATAAATTTAAGGACCACTTTGACAATATTTTAAATACGGGAAATTATGATCTGTGTCCTCCTTCTGAGTACCAGAGTGCTGAACCATTAATAGAAGGACCAAGTAAAGAGGAAGTTGAATTAGCTATCGGAAAATTAAAATCTTATAAAGCAGCGGGAACCGACAATATTCCCACTGAACTAATTAAGGCATGCGGGGAAGCTGGAGTTTCTAAAATACATCGGTTGGTTAAAAAGATCTGGATGAATGAGAAATTACCTGAAGAATGGAAAGAATCTATTCTTATTCCGATTCACAAAAAGGGTCCGAGGACGGATTGTAATAACTATCGAGGAATTTCACTCCTTCTGGTATGTTATAACATATTTACTTTAATCTTAACCAGTCGAATCACGGAATACGCCGAGGAAATTATCGGAGACTACCAATGCGGATTTAGACGGAATCGTTCGACTATTGATCAAATATTTTCTTTACGGCAAATATTAGAGAAAAAATTGGAGTACAAAGGTATTGTTCACCAGCTGTATATAGATTTTAAAAAGGCTTACGATTCTATTGACCGCCAGAAACTGTATAATATTCTAATCGAGCAGGGGATTCCTAAAAAATTAGTAAATCTAGTCCGGATGTGCTTGACGGAGACACTCAATAAAGTTAAAATCGGTAATAATCTGTCCGAAAAATTTGAGGTTCGTTCAGGTTTAAAACAGGGGGATTCCCTTTCGCCTGTCCTGTTCAATTTGGCATTAGAACATGCCATTAGGCAGGTAATGCGTACCGAGAAAGGGTTGGATCTGGGTGGGACAACATCCGTGCTGGGTTATGCGGATGATCTGGTACTGTTAAGCGAAGACCTTGAAACTATTAAACTAAATACGACAACGTTAATGAAAGCCGGTAAAGAACTAGGACTCGAAATAAACGTGGATAAAACAAAATATATGGTTAGCTGCAAAAATGGCAATACTACTGGTGATATCGATATCGATGGTAATATGTTTGAACAGGTAGATAAGTTTAGGTATCTAGGTACTACGATAACTAGAAAAAAACGAAATTGAAGAAGAAATTAAGGTTAGACTGAAGGTGGGAAATGCTTGCTATTTTTCTGTGACAAAACTACTCAGTTCGCGCCTCTTGTCCCGGAACTTAAAAATTAGAATCTATAAAACAATTATCTTGCCTACAGTTCTTTATGGGTGCGAAACTTGGCCGCTTACATTAAGGGATGAGCAGCGTCTTAAGGTTTTTGAAAATAAAGTATTGCGTAGAATATTCGGACCGAAGAAGGATGAGTTAACTGGAGAGTTCAGACGGTTACACAACGCCGAATTGCGTGAACTGTATCCGGGTAATATAATTGAGGTAATTTCATCGCGGCGAATCAAATGGGCTTGTAAAGTTGTTGGACTTAGTAACGAAAGAATTCCTAAAAGGTTAATATTCGCTGTGCCGAATGGTAAGCGTCCGAGGGGTAGACCGAGGCGAAGGTGGGAAGATTGCATTAAAGCCGATCTGAAGGGACTGGGTTTGGACGGCGAACGATGGAGGGAGGTGTGCAATAAGCGATTGGTGGTGTCGGCATCGAACCTTCGGGTTCGCTAAGCCTTTTTATTATTATTATTATTATTATTATATCTTCTTTCCATTGTTTTTTTCATTGTATGTACAAATAAAGGTTATTATTATATCTTCTTTCTAGATACCTACTGCAACTCCTCATGGATGCAGGATGCTTACAGTGGGCTCTTCTTATATCTGTCTTATTGCGGGATGCTATGGCTGTGTATAGAATAATTAATGCTGCGAGGTCCCAAGATCAATCATATGAAGCAGTTGTAAGATTGAAGCAAAACATTATCTCATTGTGTCAATGGAGTGATTCAGATTGGTAAGAAATTTTAATCCTTAAAAATTTTAATTATCTTGTGCTTTATATTCAGAAATCATATGTATTTTCTGGACTATGATCTCTCTTATTTTTTATTTTATTACAAGCGTATTTAATTTTATATGTGCCTACAGGCAATTTAAAAAAAAAAAAATTAAGCAAAAATTAAATTATTGTTAAAATTAAATTTAATCATTATTAAATTGATTTAATGATAGTTCATTATCAAATGGTTTTAATTGTAAATAAGCACCTAAAAGTTGTCATTAGTCTTATTAATCAAATACCACTTCAAAGTGGAGGATCAAAGTGGCCGAGAGGTTTAACAAACTTTCATAAGTGCACCTGCTTACAAACTTAGAGATTGTGAGTTTGTATCCCGGTCCCAGGAACCTTAAGCATCTACTTGTCACCTTTCCCTGGGTTTGTGAGGCTCGTAAGCATACTGAAGGCACCTCAGACAAACTGGGTATATGAGTGATGACCCATGTAACTTAATTAGGAATCATGTTATAGTTTTCCAGAATATTAAATGGCTGTATGAAGGTATGATCCACATACGGTCTGCTTTAGAAAAAGAATTTTGATGCTGGTGCAGCTGACCCTGAACACAGCCATAACCGTAGAATCTAGACTGATTCATCACTTTTTTTCAACATGAGTATATTTTGCGGGAAGGGCATTACTGGGTTGGTCCCAAAGAGACTGGCTATGGGTTTAGCATTCCATTAATCATGAAAATCATAGTTTATTGCAGCCTGATGTTGGGTTGCCCCTTAAGTCTATGTAAGCTCTGGCCAGCTATAAAAGTACAGAAAATTAATTTCCACTAATAATTTCCTTACTAATAATATACTTATCTAAAACATATGCATTAATAATTATTGTTTATTTTTGGTTATAAACTTTGATATTATTATTTATTGATCTTTTTGTGCTTGATTACAGCATTGGTTATAAGCCTTTCATGGTTGTCATTCAAGGACAAGTTACTACTTTGAATGACATCTTAGAAGTAAAACAAAAGGCTAGATGTTCTACACCTGATTTCAGAGCTTGTCGCTCATCTAGTATATCTTGTTCTTTGGAAAAAATCAGCATGAATTCTGAACATCAGCCAATCAATGAAGAAATATATGTACAAAAAAAACATTCTAATTCTCCTACACCGTCCATTACTGTTCACTTGAAAGAACGTACTTCATGTTCGATCATGTGAAAATTAATATTTCTTGACTGTTATTAATTATGAAGTAATAAATTTGTGAATATATATTTTATTCGACAATTTTATTTTAGTTTCTATAATAGTGTTATACAACACCTTGTGTTCAAGTTTTTTGAAAAAAAAAAATTACAATCAAATCCATTGAAAATCACTCATGACCATGAGATTCCACTCTCAGTTCAGTTTCTTTAATCTCTAAATTTATTGGCTATTTCATATGAATTTGGGAAAGCTAGACTATAGATAATTTTAGTACAAAACTTGCATCTCTCTCAAACCCACCTTGTTTGTATGAATATGACTTGAATGACATAACCACCTTGTATAAATAACTAACTTACTGATGTGTCACACACCTTGGCTAACATGATAGACTTTATGAGCTTCTCTTAAATACTTAGCATTAAATATTTCTTTATCTTTTTGTATCCTCATTTCAAATATCTTTTTTAAAATGAATATCTATATATCCCTAGAAAGTCACTTATTTTTTTTCAGTTAAGTTAATAAGGAAGATATACATTCTTCAATAAATATGATAAACACATATATACATTTTCAGAATTTTAATTAAGTGAAAATTATATATATATATATATATATATATATATATATATATATATATATATATATATACTCTTTATATTCTTCCCAAGCCTTAAGGGCCCATGGTAGCCATGACCAGTAATACAAATCCTTTGCCTTACACTTAATATTAATATGATTAGGATACCGCTAACAACATAAACTAAAATAAATCTTAACTGGATTAAACCACGTTTTTGCCACCACAGTAAGTAATCATAGAAATACCATGATAGCCAAGGTGTTATAGCTATTTTGACTCTTGACAAGATTTTTTCCATACTTTCAGTAGAAAATCTATAAATTTTTACTAATAATAAAAGTTTTTTTTTATTTTTGTAAATTAATCTAATAGTTAAAATGATCATGTATGAGATGTATAATAATTTCACTTGACCAAGTTTACCAGCTATGTAGATTATGTGTCAAATAATTCAATAGTCATGGACATTATAATATTTCTTCATATTTCATTTAAATTAAAAAAATATGCAATAATTAAATTTCTTGAAAATTATAAATTAATAATATTTATGGAACTAAGTATTTACTATGGTTTAGAAAATACATTATGGGAACACTTAAATCAATTTCAGGAAACTCATGGTCTTTTCTTATTATTCAATCATGTCTTGTATATAAACATGTAAATAATTTATCTATTTTTAGACTTAATAAGTAATTAGTTATTGTTAATTACTGTAAAAAGGTTACTCTATGTAATGTATGCAGTTTTACATCAATATATCAAATTTTTTTAGAAACGTTTATTATACTTTACAGTCTCTACAATAAAGTAGTGTTTTAGTTTCCTCGCTCTTTGTAATTTCTAAGCATATATTATACATATATCTTGTTTTACGTAGGTGGTCCCTGAATATAAGTTAGTCTATATTAATCAGATTTAATGTAATGGTTGCTCAGTCATGGTTTTGGATTATCTCTCATTATCCACCTTTTTTTAATTGATCATTATTTCTTTTTTCTTCTTATACTTTAACTCTCCAAAGCCGGTAATTATTTTTTCGAAAATTGTTTATTTTCTATTATATTTTCCTATTATTATTACATTTCCTGTGCATTAAAACATGCGAAAATCAATTTTAAAAAATGAACGATCTTAACAACTTCACAGGGAGGGATGACATAAATGTCACACTCTGCTCTTGGGCTATTTTTTTTTTTTTATATATTACAGAATTATATATATTTTCATTAAGATAGTTATAATAAAACAATATGTTTTATTAATAATTTTATTGATCTAAGACATATATACATTTTTGTTTTTAGAATGTATTTTATTTACTTTTTATGATGTGAGCAAAACCATTTCAAGCACAATCCGTGCACAATTTGTACACGTTTCACCTGTGCAACACTTGCGCTTAGAAATTTGTTCAACAAAGTGATCCATTCAATCATAGTGAATATTTATTGGAACATGTGAAAATCTGGGACCAGAAGATGTAGAAGGTCATGGTGACTTATCAGTTGTGTTATACCTCTCTAAGTAGCATTGAACAACTGCTCGTCTGAAATGTAGTTTTTTACCACTTGTAGGTTCAGCTTGTTTGTATGTAAGCCATGCATTGTTCATGGTAACATTAAATAGCCAAGTAAATAATGGCCCTCTACCATTCTTTCCATGAATTCAATCCATCTGATCAGTTTCATCCAAGTATTGATTGTATTGATTTATCAATATCAACTACGATATTGTTATATATTTTTTTATTTTGGGGCTGAATTGTTTTCTCAATCCACAGGTAGCAAACCATGGACTGTAGAAACAACAGATACATTAATGCCTACCCACTTGCAAATAATAATGCTGTCTTCTTTTTCAAGAGCACCTATTGCTGTTCCTCTTTCCATTTTCTTCAATGTAGCTTTATTTGGGAGTGTACCACATTTTTTTCCTAAAACATAAAGTCAAATATTTTGGCAAAACTAAATTATTTAATAAAATTTTATTTTAAAATATATTTCTTTGTAAAAATCAAACTATAAAATTACACTACAACAATGATTCCAATAAAATTCAAATTTTAAATTTAATTCACGTGATTATTTATATATACATCCATTTGTAATGATTTATTTATTTTATATGTGTAGTATGTTTCATAAAATGAGTCTCTAAATAGTTTATAAGTATAAACAGGCAATTATCTATTGTTTTACCTGTGATTGGGAAAAGATTCCTTTATATAGTAAAAAAGCAAAGAATTTCCTAAGAATCTTGAACATAATTTCAGAATATTACAAATAAATTAAACTGTTGTTTTACCAGCGTAGAGCATAATTTTCCTATTTTGGAAAAAAAAAAGTAGAAGATATTGTAGTTTATATGAATTCGAATTAGCGAAATTTAAAAATATAGCCTCAAGTCTGACTGTGACATATCAAAAGGAGTTTAGACCTAAATTATGCAGCTGTAAATTTTTATAAAAACCTAAGATTTTGTATGCTTTAACTATAGGAGTAAATGCAACTAAAACACAAATAATTAAAAATTTAAAAAATAATGTAAACTTATGAAAAGAATTATCATTCATTGAGATCAATGTTCATTGTAGTAAGATTTTATAACTTCAAAATAAACTCAAATAAGAAGTGTTTAAACCCATTGTTGATGCATAACTGACTCTCAGAGCCTTCTGTAGTATAGTTAATGACATTCCACTCTCAACCATAGCTAAAAAGAAGGAAAGATGGAAAGAAAGGTTACGTTTTACTTTGACTCTAATGCCACATTAGGCTAGGCTTTGGAGGGGTAATCCACATTAAGATTGATGCTCTACTTTTAGTTTTTTACTGAAGATTTATTTAATTTAATATAATACAGTATTCATTTTTTCTCATATTATTCTTTTATTGATTTTCTCTATCTAATCTATATCTATTTCCCGATTACTGGGATAACTCATTACACCATGTCTTTATTAATATAGTTACATTTTATCGAACTATATATAAAAAATTACCAATTATCCAAGCATATTTGGACAATCTTATTGAATAGAACTAGGTTACTAACAATTAACCTCTTTGAACAAATGTTTTCTCAACTCTATCTTAAGTGTTTTGAAGATTTGTTGCTTGAAATTTTATTGCTTTCATTGTGTTGGCTCATTTTATATTCTTTTAAAGTTTTGAATAATGCTTAGGATAAAACGTGAATATTACCCCAAAAATCAATAATGATTTATTTATAAGTTTGTGAAATTATTATAAAATGAAAGTTTTTTTTTATATAGTGGCCACCTATGTAGTTTTGGGTATGATTGATTGTTTTGAATGTGACATACTTAATCATACTTTTTGTTCTGCAAATGAAACTGCATATCTATCATTCTAAATTAAAAATCAAATCAAACTAAAACATTAACTTTTTTATAAAGTTTGAAAAGTTGCAACTTTAAGTGAATATCTATATTTTGAAAACAGTTTATGTACTTCAGTGACCCAACTTTTTTTTTTTATAGTTAACCCTGCTTGGTGCTATCATATTACTTTCTTTGCTAAATAATATGTTGTTCATTTTCTGGCTTTTGGACAATATTTTCATAATCAATTGTTCTTTTAAAATATGTAGTATCTTTTCAAGTTTTAAAAATTATAATGATATACTCTTCCTTTTATATAATGAACTTTAAAACTGTAAAACAATTTTTCAAATCTATTGTTAAATGACCTTGGTGTATGTGTTTGTAATTATGTTCTGGTAACATCAGAAAAAAAAATTCAAAATTTATAATTAGTAAATAATTATATATTTTAACCAATAATAAACATAGATTTTGATATTAAACAAAAATATGATCTAGTTAATTGATAAAATATGAAATTGTCTATTAAATCATTTATTTATTTTTGTTAAAAGTAAAATTAGTATTAAAGAAGATTATTAGAACATTTAACATTTACTAAAGATTTATTTATTTAGTTATTTAGTAGACATGGATTTTTGTGACTGCAGTGGAGTCCTGATTACCTAATAGCTTAGTATAATATTTAAAGTTAATACTGTCATGTGCAATATATTATTTATTAACTAATTGTTAAGATTTTTTAAATAATTAAAATACTGATGTATAAATACAATTTGTATTAAACGTTCTCTTTTTTTTTAATCTATAAAAGCTCGTGTATGTGGGGTGCTTGTTTAATGTATATGCAATTTATTTAAATAAAACCGTATTTTAATATTCGTATTTATTAATGTATTTCATAGCTTCAACTATTTTGATGATCAGCTTAAATATTTTCAGTTCATAGGCTTTCTTTTGGAAGATTTTGCAATATTTTCACAATTTGAACACACATTCTATTATTTTATATGTATTTTACAATAGTTTCTCCAATCCCATGTTTCTTTGCTACCTAAGTCTTATGTTCTTTTCTCTGATCAAGAATTTTGTATTTATCTTCAATCGATATAATGATCTTTTAGTTTTTCATTATAATTTTAAAGAAGATACCCAGAGAAATATAAAATTAATTAATTGATACAAATCAAATTAGAAATTAAGTTAATAAATTTTCTCTTATTTATTTTAAGAAATGTGTAATAAATAAAAAGAAGTTAGTTTAACAAAAATTGAATTTCTCATATTAAAATATTCTTTAGGATTCCCTGTGAAATAAGATTCAATGAATTCTTTAATAGTGGCCATGGAAACTATAATGACTTTCACAACTGCTGTTTTCTATTTAATACTAATATATTTGCATAATTTTATTTGCCTATTTCATGCTGAATAATTTAGTAAAATAAATTAGATTTATTTATTTTTGTTTTAACATATATTAAGAAGACAATCAGGATTCCACTTTATTTACATTTTTAGAAATATAAATGTATGTTTTATCTTAATGATATATATATATATATATATATATATATATATATATATATATATATATATATATATATATATATAGACTGGTTTTTATGAAATAGCACATTAAAATTATTGAATTTGAAAAAAGGGCAATTAATTTTATTAACTGATTAAAAACATATATATGTATATATATATATATATATATATATATATATATATATATATATATATATATATAATTTTGTTTAGTAAGTAAAATTGGCTATTAGTTACTATTATAAATTATCTTAATTTGAGATTTCATTTATTCATGAAGTATTATCAATAAATCTTTTAGACCTTTTGAGGGAATATATTTGTGCTTTAGATAATGGGCATGATATAGTTTGAACATTTTTTATATTGTTTTTATTATGATTTCCTAGTCATTTCTGTTTTACTCTAGCCATATTTATCCTCTTACGTCTATCTATATTAATTTATGTTATTTATGATTGTTGCTATTATTATACAATCATAGTGATTGAAATTGTTCTAAAATGTAATCAATGTTTAAAAAAAACTTTACTTTATAAGATATTTCTTAGTTATACTATTAATTGGAAAATCAAATACTCCAAAGTCTTTTTCAAAATGAGTCTCAGGTTCTTCAGGGATGCCTTCCTTTTAAAATAAGTAAATTTTAGTATTATCTGTAAAATTATTAGACATATATGTATATATTTGTTCTTTGTTCTTTAGGATTTAACTAACTTCTGTAACTTTTATACTTTTATAATGATTTTCTTAAATTAGGGTAAATGGTATAATAGGGCACAGATGAATTTATTTACTTATAGATATGAAAATTAAAATGTATGTTTTTGATATTTTATGTTAAAACCAAGCGAAATTATTCTTTTCAATTGGTATTAGTTATAATATAATAATTGGAATAATTACTATTCCCTTAGTATGTTACCGTTCTTCTAACTGTATTTTTTATTTATTTTCCATGCCTTAATTGTTAATTTTTCATGAGGGACAATCTTTTTTATTAATAATATGTACGTATCATAACAAAGTTTATATTAGTCTAATAAGCAAATTATTCAAACTGATGTTAGTTAATTTGACAGTTTTTACTTTAAATTAAAAAAAAATTTAATATATATATATTGAAATTTACAACGTATGTATTATTTAAAAAATATAACAAGTAAATTTGTATTGGTAATATGGCATGTGCAAAATGAAGAGAAACTACCTATTGATAGCATTCGAATTATAATTCTATAGTAGAAGATCCAGAGGCCATCTTCTTCTCAGACACCTCGGGGGGGTTATCAGGAATCGAAGAAGAAGCAAGGTTAGAAACAAGAGGGTTTGGATGGTTCAGAAATTTATTATAGAATAATAGGTATCTGGATTGGGCCAGGTTTGACACATATGGAACATTAAGGTTGTCATGGATGATTTTATTAGTGGCAAAGTAAGAAGCATTGAGGATTTTACGAAGGATTTTGGATTGTAACGATTGAATACAAGAAGCATTCGATGGATTAGTGGAGCCCCAAAGCTCAATTTCCTAAGTCCAAATAGGCCTAATTATAGTCATGTATATGAGTCTTTTAATTGATGGAAAGTTTAGAGAGTTTGTCTAGTAATGCTGAAGTAGTCGGAAATGTCGAGCGGTATCTTGTCATTCCAGTCTGGTATGAGGATTCCAATGAGACATTTGTCTAAGTGGAGCCCTAGGTATCGGATTTGTTCAACAGGGATAAGTGATGTATTATTAAAGGATACTGTAGAATAGGAAGTCATATGTTTACGACAACGGGTAAAGATGATTTGATGGGATTTACTGGAATTCATTTTAATCCTCCAGTTTTGACACCATAAGACTTGTGATTGAAGAGTTTGAGATGCAATTGTTGGGTCGTCATTAACTGATAAGATACCTGTGTCATTGGCATAGGTTGATGACAGTGTTGGGAAGGGATGGGATGTCAGCTAAAAAATTAAAAATTAAATCTTATCTTTATATAGGTTACTGACCTAACTTGCTTAATTTCAGATAAGCATAATCCAACACTCCGGTCCCTATAGACTTCTACTCCAGTATGTTGGCTGTATAAAGATTGCCCCTTTTTCTTATTGAAGTGAAAATGCAAAGGTAGTCTGCAGACACTCTTCCGATAACATTTTAATTTTGTGGCCCCATCTCATTTCTCACTTTTTTACATTATTGTGGCAATAAATGGTTACTTTAATAATTAGTTAATTCTAAAAAAAATACCAAAAGTTTAGACAATGTAGGAGTTTTATTAAATAATATATTTGAATGAAAGTGAAAGGTTAGGGGATATAAAGTTAATGTGAAAAATGCTTCAGAGGACCCTTGGTAATGCTCTGAACTGGGTAAGCTGAGACCCTCGCTCAAACACATTAAGCCTCAACATCATAAATAAATTTGAATAAGGTTAATTATAAAGAAATAAAATATATTTTAATGATGAAATTGAAAATTTTTTAACTTCGTTTTATTCAGTATAGAAAGAATGGACTCCAAAACTTCACTAACAGGATAGTTTAGTACCAGTAAGATAAAATCAAACTCACCGTTAGTACCTATATTCTTTCTTTCTTATCAATGTTTATTTTGTTTTTACTTTTATGGACTTATATTACTATAACATATTTCTTGAATATTGTTGAAGTTATTGAATATTATAATCCCTTTATTCTATTTATAATAGAAATACAGAAGATGATTTATAAGTTATATGTAATACCATTTTAATTATATACATTTTCGTATTCCTGTTTAATTTTAATTGTTTGATGAAATTTTTTTTCTCGATTATTGGAACATATGTAATTCATAAATTAATGAGTAAATATTACAATTTAATATTATTTTAATTAATTTTTTATTATTTATATGTGAACAGGTAAAATATATGTATATATTTTTTTTGATGACGTAAAAAATAATCCATATGAATTTTCTATCTTTTTGGATTTTTTATTTATACATGATGTCACAGATAACTTGTCCTTTAAATTAAGGTACTTGAACCATTACTCAATAATTCATTTTTTCTTTCAATTTTGGTTTTTTGTTGCTATTTGTATTTATTTTTTGTCAAACTGTTGTTTCTTCCTCTAAAAAAAAACAGTTTTTATTCAAATTTTGTTTTTGGGTATGCATTATAAAATATTTTGTTTCATTACAAAGATTTTTCTTTAATTTTCATTTGGCCTGACTTTATTTTGATTTTCTTTCTTTATTTCAAAATCTTTAAGGCTCTATCAACTCAATTGTTGGTAATCATATTCAATTTGCTCCAGAACTCTTGCTCCAATATAATTAAGCTGTTCAGTCTCAGTAATATTATAATAATAATTGTATAATAATAATCATAATTAATAATATAAAATTGTAATTGGTGGTCCAGTTAGTTAAAAGTATCTCCTAAGATGGTTAGAATGTAATATCATTATTAACTAAATAATTATTTTTATTTAAAAAATAATATTTAAATTTTGGCGACGTGAATACATTTTTTATTGGTGAAGTGTTCCCCTCTCACTCGCTCTCTCTATTTCTTTCTCTCTCTCTCTCTCTCTATATATATATATATATATATATATATATATATATATATATATCTTTAATTATAATATAATATATATAATATAATAATATTATAATAATAATATATATAATATAATATTATAATATAATTATATATATATATATATATATATATATACTCTTCTCATAAATGGACAATTTTATTTTATTTGTCAAAACTATCTTTTTTTCAATACAGTTAAAATTTCTAAAAACAGAACTGTCTCATAACCGTACACGGGCACTTATTTAATTCTTTTTTCTTCGAAAAAACTTTTTAATAAAAAATAGCATGCATAAAATCCTAAGTGATTCATTTTTATCTGTTATGATCTCTGGATTGTACTGTTTTATAGGAAGATAAATATTCCTCCATCGAATATTTTATGCGATACTAAAACTTTAGTTGAATTTTTATTTCAATTGTTGAATATTATAATCAGAGAAAAGTTTATTATCTAAAGAAATTTGGATGTAATTATGTGTGCGCATAAAAGTTTAAATGTGTTGATATTATGGAACATTTAAGTTTGGAAAATCAGTGTTGCTGGTCCATTATAAAAAAAAAATTAAGTCATATAAAGCATAGTAATAACCAATCTAAAAAAGAATGTTGAATCAGGAGGTCTAATGATTGACAAATTTTTTTGCAGATTGATTTGCTGAGCTCAGATTAATATCATCCTAATCTCAGACTCATATAATAGGCTTTGCAACATACTAAAGTTTGGGGTACTATGATTTCAAAGCTAGTGTGATATGGGGGAATGGGGAATTGTGCACTTTTGTAATTTTCTTATTCAAGCTTATATACATTGTCTTTCTTTTTTTTTTTTTTGCATTTTTATGCCTTTTATTCATTCCTCACCAATGGTATTCAGTTGTGGGAAGTTCCACGGTACAGAGCTATGTATATTCACACACACATATATATATACACACATACATATATATATATATATATATATATATATATATATATATATATACACACATACATATATATATATATATATATATATATATATATATATATATATATATATTTAATATTTTTGTTCCTTAAGTAAAGGGAAATATTTAAAGATATGATACTAGACCTCAGGAGCTACAAAAAAAGTTTCTATGAACCGTGGTCCAATTTTTCATAGAACAGTATGAAATTCAGGTTTCGTGTTTTTTTAAGTAAATCACATATTTGTTGAATAGGAGGGAATAACTAAAAAAATATTTAATTCAATTACTTCACATTTAACTAGACAAAGGTTATTTAAAATAAAATTGGAGTTAGTTGTTGTTAAAACAATTAAAAAGGAGACTTTTAAGCAGCTGAACCAAGCTAAGTTCTGTTTTTTAAAAAATCATGG